GTTAGAAGGGACACACACACACACACACACACACACACCCCTCCGCCGTCAGTTCCGGGTTAGAAGGGACACACACACACACACACACACACACCTCCGCCGCTGCCCCGAGGGAGGGGTGGGAAAACTAGCGCGGGTGACTAGGGAGACGCCGCCTTAAAGGGCCCAACCTCCCAAACCCAGAGCCGTGGCAAAGGGTAAGCCCCTTCTTTTGGTAATGATGGGTTACCTTTAAGCACCGTTCATGTATTAGGCAGTTCATTCTTATGCTTGAAACAACTTTACAAAATAGGTATTTTTAACCCTGTTTTACAAATAGGAAACAAGGCTTAGAGAGATGCTAGATGGGGGATTCAAATCCACAGCTGTCCAGATGCAGAGCCTCTTTAAATTTCGAAAGGCCGAGTCTGTTAGTGAACCACCATATAAAAAGAAGCCTAGGAGACAGGAGGAAGGAGCTGGAAACGATAGGAAAATGAAGAACTAGAAAATATTGATAGTGTCTGTGCGTCTTGAGGAAAAGTAAATGCCCCTACAGTAGATTGTAGACACATTTTGGGGACCTTGACAATTACTGACAAGCTACTCTGAAACTAAAAGACATAGACGGAGTACAAGTAATGCAAGAAGGAAACTACCAGTTTTGGCAAATCAAGGACAGATATCTAGCAATAGATTGCCATCAAGGTGTTGGGTTGTTCTAGAGTTATTAGAATCTTGCAACTCATTTATATTATTTGCTTCAGGATATTTCAAGCAAGTGCCCTGACACAGATACAAGTCAAAGAAGAAAATCTTGCACTCTGTTAGGAGTGAAAGAAAAGGTGTTTTATTGAGGTGTAATAAAGCTTTAGTTGGGCAGCACTAAGTAAAAATGCAAAGCACTCCGCTGTCTTTATGGAGTGAGAGGTTTGTGCGTGGAGAACAAAGTAAAGGTAGGGGGTTAATGATTGATACAGCTTCATCTTTGGAGTCCTTTGAAATGTGAAAGTAGGCCATTTGGCTAGTGGGGAAGTGAGTTTACTCCCTAGGTGAGTGGTGCCAGCTGATTCTTTATATACATTCTTCTTAGAAACAAATTGTTTACATCCTGACACATTCTTCCCAGGAACAAATTGTTTCCATCCTGACCATTTGCTTCCTGGGAATGCAAATTGATCCCACCGTTCTTGACCTGAGATGAGTGCCTCCATGTTCTAAAAAATATATAGAAATAAGCTCCACTGCCATTGAGTAGATTCCAACTCATAGCACCCTGTAGGATAGAGTAGAACTGCCCCATAAGGTTTCCAAGGTTGTACAAGGTTTCCAAGGTTTATGGAAACAGACTGCCTTATCGTTCCCCCATGGAGCGGCTGTATGTATGTATGTGTGTGTATCTATCTATCTATCTACATAGATAGATAGATAAGAGAAAAAAAATGTAAGGAGTGATTTTTTTTTTTTTTTTTAAAGTAGCAGTTTATGATAGATATTTTCTCTATTTTGTTGTTGTTCTTGTTAGGTGCCATCAAGTCCATTCTAACTGATAACACTGCCCTGTTCTGCACCATCCTCATAATCCTTGCTGTGCTTGAACCCATTGGTGCAGTCACTGTGTCAGTCTATCTTGCTGAGAACCTTCTGCTTTATCATTTTCTGTCTACTTTACTAGGCATGATATCCTTCTCCAGGGACTCATTCCTTTTCACCACATGACCAGAGTAGGTGAGACCAAGTCAAGCTATTCTCACTTCTAAGGAGCATTTCAGCTGCACTTCGAGAATAGGTTTGTTCGTTCTTCTAGCAATCCATGGTATTTTCAGTATTCTTCACCAACATCACAATTCAAAGGCATCAATTCTTCAGTCATCCTTATGCATTGTCCAACTTTCCCATGTGTATGAGGCAATTGAAAATACCATAGCTTGGATTCAGCACACCTTAGTTTTCAAAGTGACATCTTTGCTCTTCAACACATTAAATAGGTCTTTTGCAGCAGATTTGCCCAGCAGTACAATGTCTGATTTCTTAACTGCTGCTTCCATGAGTGTTGATTGTGTATCCAAGTAAAATGAAATCCCTCACAACTTCAATCTTTTTCTCTATTTATCATAATGTTGCTTATTGGTCCAGTTGTGAGGATTTTTGTTTTCTTTATGTTGAAGTATAATCCATACTGAAGACTGTAGTCTTTGATCATTAGTATTTCAAGTCCTCTTCCAAGGTTGTGTCATCTGCATATCTCAGGTTGTTAATGTGTCTTCCTCCAATCCTGATGCCGTATTCTTCTTCCTATAGCTCAGCTTCTCGGATTATCTGCTCAGCATACAGATTGAATAACTATAGTGAAAGGATACAACCCTGACGTACACCTTTTCTGATTAAAAACCATGCAACATCACCTTGTTCTCTTCCAATCCCAGCCTTTTGGTCTATGTACAGATTCCTCATGAGCACAATTAAGTGTTCTGGAATTCCCATTCTTCACAATGCTATCTATAATTTGTTATGATCCACACAGTCAAATGCCTTTGCATAGTCAATAAAACATAGGTAAAGATCTTTCTGGTATTCTTTGCTTTCAGCCAAGATCCATTTGACATCAGCAGTGATATCTCTCATTCCATGGCCTCTTCTGAATCCACCTTGCATTTCTGGAAGTTTCCTGTCAATATACTGTTGCAACCATTTTTTAATTATCTTCAGCAAAATTTTACTTGCATGTGTGTAATATTAATGATATTATTCAGTAATTCCTACATTCTGTTGGATTACCTTCCTTTGGAATGGGCACAAATGGGCTTCTGTGGATCTCTTCCAGTCAGTTGGATGGGTTAGCTGTCTTCCAGATTTCCTGGCACAAATGAGTAAGTGCTTCCAGAACCACATCTGTTTGTTGAAACATCTCAATGGGTATTCCATCAATTCCTGAGCCTTGATTTTCACCAAATCTTTGTGCAGTTTGGACTTCTTCCTTCAGTGCCATTGGTTCTTGATCATATGCTACCTCCTGAAATAACTGAACATTGACCAGTTCTTTTTGTTACAATGCCTCTGTGTATTCCTTCCATCTTCTTTTGATGCTTCCTGTATCATTCAATATTTTGCCTATAGAATCCTTCAAGATTGCAATTTGAGGCTTGAATTTTTTTCTCAGTTCTTTCAGCTTGAGGAATGCAGAGCATGTTCTTCCCTTTTGGTTTTCTAATTCCTGGTCTTTGCACATTGTGTTATAATACTTTACTTTTTCTTCTCCAGCCACTGTTTGGAACCTTCTGTTCAGTTCTTTTATTTCAACATTTCTCTATTTTATCTTACTTAAATTTTGACATCTACCGTGAGGCCCATAAACAGGTGACATCCTCATGGTCACCAGGTGAGAAAGTAGTGAAACTGGAATAGGACAATATGTTCAAACCTGGTGCTCTTTCCTCTATACAACATTATGATACAGTGAGAAAAATGTAAATGAAGGTAAATTCAAGGTTCTGTAGGCTTATGAAGCTAGAACTACAAATTGCTTAAGGGATCAGACTAGGCTGCTAAGGTGATGTTTGATAATAGTCTTGAGGTTTACATAAACCACCAGTCTGATGGGACTAAGGAAGACCTTCTAATCAGTGACCCTTTGGCTGCCCTCCTAGATCTACCATCTTTGAAGAGTGGTAAGAGAGGATGTGAGAAGGAAGGAGAATAATTCACATTCTTGTTCTCTCTTCCATATCAAAGTATCTTGTGTTCCATACTCTAATTCATACTGATGTGATCGTGTTTTTTGTTTCCTTTTGAGTGAACATTTCATCTAGGAGGGATATTCTGTCCATCAACTGATGAATAGGTAAATAAATGTAGCAATCCATATAATGGAATATTAACCAACAAAAACAACAAAAAGGAATGAAGTAGTGATACGTGCTATAGCTTAGATGAACTTAAAAACATGGTACCTCAAAAGACAGGCCTGATGATCTGCTTCTGAAAGGTCATAGCCTAAAAACCCCATGGAGCAGTTCTATACACACATGGGGTCACCATGGGTGGCATCAACTTGACAGCAAGTAACAACAAGACTTGAAGGGGCAGAGGAGAAATGGGGATTTACTGCAAGTGAGTACAGGGTTTCTTTTTTGGATTGCTGAAAATGTTCTAAAATTGATTGTAGTCATGGTTGCAAAACTGAATATACTAAAAACCAATACATTGTGCCCTCTAAATGGGTGAATTGTATGGTGTATGAACAGTATCTCAATAAAGCTGTTATTCAAAACAAGACTATTCTGAAGATAAAATGCTTTCATCAATTGACTCAGTATATATTGAGAGCCAATAATGTATCAGGCAGTTGATAGAGGAGAGGGTTAAATTATCCAACAAGACCCAGTCCTTGTGGTGGCTTACGTTCTGGTGGCAAGAAAATTAAATAGGCATTTATCATACAAGGATTCTCCTTAGGC